ATTAATTTTTCCCCCCCCCCCAAAAAAAATTTTGGGGAAAAAATTTTTGGGGGGGAAATTTGGGGCCCCCCCCCCAAAAAGGGATTTTAAATTTTCCCCAAAGTAAAAAAAAAAAACCGGAAAAAATTTTTTTAAAAGGGTTTGGGGGGGGGGGCCCCCCCGGGAAAAAAAATTTTTTATTTTTTTTCCCCCCCCCCGGGGGGCCCTTTTGGGGTTTTTTTTTTTAAAAATTTCCCCCTTTTGGGGGGTTTTTTTTTTTTTCCCCCCCCCCGGGGAAAATTTCCGGGTTAAAACCCCCCCCAAAAATTTTTTTTTTAAAACCCCCCCCCCCCCCGGGGGGGAAAAAAAAATTTTTTTTCCCCCCCCCCCCCTTTTTTTAAGGGGGGCCCCCCCCCCCCTTTTTTTGTTAAAAAAAAAAATTTTTAAAATTTTTTTTTTTTTTCCCCTCCAAAAAAAATTTTTTAAATTTTTCCCGCCCCCAAAAAAGGGCAAAAAAAAAAAGGGGGGTTTTTTAAATTTTTTCCTTTAACAAAAAAAAAATTTTTTTTTTTTAAATTTTTAAAAAAATAATTTTTTTTTTAAAAAAATTAAAAAATTTTTTAAATAAAAAAAATTTTTTTTTTTTTTTTAAAAATTTTTAAAAAATTTTAAAAAATTAAAAAAAAAATTTTTTTAAAAAGTAAAAAAAATTTTTTAAAAAAATTTTTTTTAAAAATTTTAATTTTTTTTAAAATTTTTTTTTAAATTAAAAAAAATAAAAAATTTTTTATAAATATTTATATTTTAAAAAAAATTAAAAATATAAAAAAAAATAAAAATAAAATATATATATATAAAAATTTTCCCCCCCCCCCCAAAAAAAAAAAAATTTTTTCCCCCCTTTTAAAAAAAAAAAATATATATATAAATAAAAATATATATAAAAAAATTTTAAATAAATATATAAAAAAAAAAAATTTTTTTTTTTTTTTTTTTAAAATTGGGGGGGGTTTTTTTTAAATTTTTTTCCCCGTTAAAAAAAACCCCAAAAAAAAAAAATTTTTTTTTCCCCAAAAAAAAAAAAAAAATTTTTTAAAACCTTTTCCCCCAAAAAAAAAAAAAAAAAAAAAAAAAAAATTAAAAAAACCAAAAAAAGGGGAAAAAAAAAAAAAAAATTTTTTAATTTTTTTTTTTGGGGGTTTGGGGGGGAGGGGAAAAGGGTTTTTTTAAAAAAAAAACCCCCCCCCCCCCGGGGGGTTTCGGGGTTTTTTCCCTTTTTTTTCCGGAAAAAGGGCCCCCCCCAAAAAAAAAAAGGGGGGGTTTCTTTTTTAAAAAAAAAAAAAAATTTTTTTTTTGGCCCCTTGGGGGTTTTTTTTTTTCCCCCAAAATTTTTTCCCCCCAAAAAAAAAATTTTTAAAAGGAACCTTCTTTTCCCCTTTTCTCTTCCTCCTCCTTTTGGGGCAAATTTTGAGCTGCATGTGTTGCTCTTTCCTTTCTGAAGCTCTTTCAGCTTCTCAAATGGTGAGCTCTTCATTGTGGTCTTTTCCCCCAATTCCTTTCCCCATCCTCCAAACTCACATTCCCCAAACCCCTTGGGAACCCCCCCGTGGGCCCCAAAAAAATTTTAACCCAACCAGACATAGGCTCAATTTGGGTCAGTCCCCCAAAATTTTTCAAAATCCCCCTTGTCGACCAATCTGGCCACAATTTTTTTTCCAGGGAGAGTTCAAAAATCCTGGTAGTCCACTTTCCCCCCCAAACCCCAAACCCATAAGGGTTAGGGGTGGAGGATTCGGGAAATGTTTCTCCAAAATTCCTTTAGGGTCAAGTGAGGGCTGTGGTCACCCGTCAAGCAAAGTGAAAACGCTTTTTGGGGTAAGTTTTTTTTAAAATTTGCAATAACCCCGCTGGGCCATGGGTTTGGGGGGAGAGGAGTGGGATTCGGAGGGAAAACTTTAAATGTGATGGAAACCCAAAACTCCCCGAAAATTAGGTCATCCAAGGGTTTTGGGGGATGAGCAGGTGCCTTGTCCCCTTAAATACAGGCCCCTTGAGAAACCCCAAATTTTTTTTTCCCAGGAGAAAACTCCTTTACACTAGGGCCAAAAAACTTCATTGAAAAACCCCTCACGAAAATTTCCCCCGTGGGCCCCCTTTCCCCTTTCTTTAATTTCCAAAACACAATTTTTCCTTCATAACATTTTTTTTTCCTGAAACACTCTGGGGTTTTTTTAGAAGGACACTAGTAATTTGGTCACTTTTAAAACCCCCCTACATTAGCACAGAACCTTTGCGTCAGCCTGTCTTTCATAGGCCCTTTTGGGGTCCTGGGGAAATTTCCTTTTCCTCCCGTGTAATGGGAAGGTTTTCCCCTTTGGGGATTTTCTTCCAAAAAAGGCCTGTTTTGTCCCCAATTGAACACTTGTTCAGGTTTTTATCCCCTTTAGCCTCTTTTGTTTCTCCTGGAAATTCATGCCCATATTTTTTCAGCCCCTTGTGGTTTTGAACGGCAGCCCCACCATGCCTTACCACACGTTAAACCATTTTGGTTTTTTAAATCCCTCAAAACCCCCTTTGCTGGCCTTAAAATTTACTCCCCCTTTTTACCACTATTTGCAGGCAATTTCCTTTACCAAATCTTCATGCAAAGCCTAGCCTTTTTCCCCAAAATAAACGAAGTCAAAGATTTTCTCCCCTTTAATTGTTTTTTCATTTATTCCACACCAATAAAAACTTCTCAAACCCCTTCCAGACTGGTGATCCCATTTTTGGCAGCATAGTTAATTTCCCCTTTTCAACAACACCCTCCTTTATTTCCTTTTTCTTGGCCACTATGGGGGAAAATAAGGTTGTGTAGGGTTTTTTATACATTCCCCGGGCAGCCCGGGCCCCACTTGTACCCACTTTTATATTGTTTTTTAAAGAAGGTTTTCTTTTTTCAATCGTATTTTCCCCACCTTTTTTACCACAGGCTTGGCACTAGGGGCTTTCCCTTTTGGGGCCATGGTTTCCTTATTTTGTACTTGCAAAACAATAAAATAAAAGGGAAAATTTTGAAAAATTTTTTTGCTGGAGCCGTGAGGGGGCCCCCCCCTCACTTTTAAACAATGCCATACCCGGCTGCCCCCCCCGGCTCCCCCCCCAGTGGGGACGCCCTCCCGGATGAAAATACGGGCTTGCAAGTCAACCTTAAAAAAACGGTCCCCTGTTTAACGAAAATACCCCCTATGATTGGCGAATTTATGATTGCCGGGAAAAAACGAAAAGCGGGGGAAACCCCTGTAATATACGTATATACCCTCGTGTCATGCAAATTTTTAGGTACGTCTTGCCCACTTCTTCTTACACTTCGGTCACAAAATCACATCAAGTGTACAAGCATATATAAATATACCCCCCTCTGGGTTTTTTTTTCTATTTTCTTTCCCATGCTTTTTTCTTTTTTATTTCCCCTTTTTCCTCCATGGGGAAGTTTGGAAAAAGAATTCTTCCCCCCGTAAGCCATACGTGTCAAAAGAGGGACTAAAATGGGCCCGGGACAAGGGGCCCGTAACCCCCCTTTTTCCCCGTACAAATTACTAAAAAATTTAAAAAAAAAAAACTTTCATTTTTCTTTTTAAAAAAAAAAACTTTTGTTTTCTTTTTGGGGCCCCCCTGCCCCTTGGGGGGAAACAAACCGGTTTTTTTGGAAAAAAAAAAAAAATCCCGTGTCCTTTTTGAAAGTTTTTTAACATATACAAAACCTGGGAAAACAAAAAATTGCCACAATAAAATGCACATTAGTTGCACTGTGTCCATTTACCTAACATTCACAAAAGGGGAACATTAAAATGGTATAAAATACGTTTTATAATAAAGATACCTAAATGTTTTCATATGTGTCCCTTCCTAACAACATTCACAATGTACTTTTGCACAAAGTTTTTCATTTTAAAAATCACTGCTTTCCCCAGGTGTAAAGGTCAGGGGTGTAGGTCCGGGGGAGGATGTAGGCAGGATGAGGTCAGGAGGCAGGTCAGGAGTGTAGGTCAGGGGTGCCGGGTTTTAGGGGTGCAGGTTTAAAAAGTGCGGTTAAAACACCGTAAAGAAAATCATTGCTCTAAAGAAAAAAAAAAATAATCTTATAAAACCCAAAATGTTGAATACTCCCCAAAAAATTTTTAAAGGGGGGATAAATCACAATTTTTTTCCCTTCTTTAATAAACCCGGTCGTGGACGGGGCCTGGGGGTTTTTACCCCCTAATGGTTTTTCCCCCGGGAGGGATCTCTAGGCAACCCCGGATTTATTATTTCGTCCAATAACTAATTACGACCCTCAACATTTTTTCCCCAAGTTTCCCCAATCCCAAAACTCCTTTAGCTTTTAAAAAACAATGTTTTTCTGTATTCTACTGACCCGTCAAATTTGTGGTTTTTTTTTTTTTTTTCCAGTTATCAAATATACAACTTTAAAAAAAAAAAATTCCGCAATAAATATGCAAAAATAAAATTACAATGCACTTATTTCATTTACCCGAATTTTTTTTTCCCCATAACAATTATTATCACAGTGCAGTGTGAACTGTTCACTTATCTGCTGCATATATCCATTTAATCCTCATATTTTTTTCTAAAATCTTTATTATAGAACATTTTTTTTTTCAACAAATCGGCCGTCTCCCACTGAGGCAGGGTGACCCAAAAAAGAAAGAAAATCCCCAAAAAGAAAATACTTTCATCATCATTCAACACTTTCACCACACTCACACATTATCACTGTTTTCGCAGAGGCGCTCAGAACACAACAGTTTAGAAGCATATACGTATAAAGATACACAACATATCCCTCCAAACCGCCAATATCCCAAACCCCTTCTTTAAAGTGCAGGCATTGTACTTCCCATTTCCAGGACTCAAGTCCGACTATATGAAAATAACCGGTTTCCCCGAATCCCTTCACTAAATATTACCCTGCTCACATTCGTCTCCATTCACTCCTATCTAACACGCTGATGCACGCATATATACGTACATATACTTACATGCATATACTTACAAAATTAACACGTTTGCCAGGTGTGCTATTAATCAAACCAGATGAATATGATGCATTAAGACCATCGACTACAGTTGTGAAAGGTTTGTGTTTGTCTACAAACTCTTGAAAGATCTTCCATTCTTTGGGGCTAGTTGAAAGAAAAATGTCTGATCCATGTAGGACTCGGGGCATAAACTCTTTCTGTGTGAAAAGAGAAAGAAATACAGTTATTAGATTATGGCACTACCCTAAATATAACAATTTAGAGCAATAAGATAGGTGGAAATAATAAGACTAATGTACTACCTGTATTCATAAGCAGCACAAAACTGAAGAGGGTCATCTATGCAAAGTGGAAGAAGAAAATACACAGGAAAAGAGAAGTAGGTGTAGGATACATCAAGCAATTAGGGGGTAAGGAAAAAATAAGATGAATGTAGTGAACAAAGATAAGGTACTTGTAATACATCAGTCCGATAAAATACATGTACCAAAGACAGCATCAGAGATGAGGGATTACAATAAACATGATAGGGTAGGAAGAGAGGGGCTGAAAATAAAGACAACATGCTTAAAAAAAAAAAAAAAAAAAAAAAAAAAAAAGACAGCTATAAGCCCAGATGTAGTTGTATAGATAACAGCTTTGTGGTTTGTCATCGTGGATTACTGATAATGTGATCTTGAATGTTATTTTTATTTTATTAACACATTGGCCAATTCTCACCAAGGCAGGGTGGCCTGAAAAAGAAAAACTATCATCATCATTCACTCCATCACTGTCTTGCCAGAGGGGTGCTTACACTACAGTTATAAAACTGCAACATTAACACCCCTCCTTCAGAGTGCAGACACTGTACTTCCCATCTCCAGGACTCGAGTCCAGCCTGCCAGTTTTCCTGAATCCCTTCATAAATGTTACTTTGTTCACACTCCAATAGCACGTCAAGTACTAAAAACCATTTGCCTCCATTCACTCCAATCAAATACGCTCACGCATGCTTGCTGGAAGTCCAAGCCCCTCGCATACAAAACCTCCTTTATCCCCTCCCTCCAACCTTTCCTAGGTCGACCCCTACCCCGCCTTCCCTCCACTACAGATTTATACACTCTCGAAGTCATTCTGTTTTGTTTCATTCTCTCTACATGTCCAAACCACCTCAACAACCCCTCCTAAGCCCTCTGGATAATAGTTTTGGTAATCCCACACCTTCTTCTAATTTCCAAGCTACGAATTCTCTGCATTGTATTCACACCACACATTGCCCTCAGACATGACATCTCCACTGCCTCCAACCTTCTCCTCGTTGCAACATTCATCACCCATGCTTCACACCCATATAGGAGTGTTGGTATAACTATACTCACATACATTCCCCTCTTTGCTTCCATGGACAAAGTTCTTTGTCTCCACAGACTCCTAAGTGCACCACTCACCCTTTTCCCCTCATCAATTCTATGATTCACCTCATCCTTCATAGACCCATCTGCTGACAAGTCCACTCCTAAATATCTGAATACATTCACCTCCTCCATATTCTCTCCCTCCAATCTGATATCCAATCTTTCATCACCTAATCTTTTTGTTATCCTCATCACCTTACTCTTTCCTATATTCATTTTTAGTTTTCTTCTTTTACATACCCTACTAAATTCATCCACCAACTTCTGTAACTTCTCTTCAGAATCTCCCAAAAGCACAGTGTCATCAGCAAAGAGCAACTGTGACAACTCCCACTTTGTGTTTGATTCTTTATCTTTTAACTCCACACCTCTTGCCAAGACCTTCGCATTCACTTCTCTTACAACCCCATCTACAAATATACTGAACAGCCACAGTATTGGGTGAAAATTAAGTACATAATAGTCTGAAATGATTAGCTAAAGGAAATTAAATGGTTTCAAACCTCTGCAAGTTCATTCTCCAAAAGAACAAAAGGACTAGGAACCTAGCTGGAAATGTTGCTGTGTTTACTAAAGATGTGAAGAAACTAGCACTGTATTCGAACCACAAAGAATCGAAAGACTGGATCATTGCAGTACACTGTGAAAAATCACAAAAGACAGCAAGAAATAAGGTAGACATTGTAGCAATAGGGAAAATAGAGAATACTACTTAACAGTGAAAATATTAGCAGGTTGCAATAAGTTCTTTCCTTCCTTTCAACAAACTGGCCATATCCCACCAAGGCAGGGAGGCCTAAAAAGAAAAACAAAAGTTTCTCTTTTTAACTTTAGTAATGTATACAGGAGAAGGGGTTATTAGCCCCTTGCTCCTGGAACGTTAATCGCCTCTTATGACACGCATGGCTTATGGAGGAAAATTCTGTTCCATTTTCCCATTGAGATAAGAGGAAATAAACAAGAACAAGAACTACTAAGAAAATAGTAGAAACCCCAGAGGGCATATGTATACATATATATATATATATGTATATGCTTGCACATGCATGTGTAGTGTGACCTAAGTGTAAGAAGTAGTAGCAAGATGTACCCAAAATCCTGCATGTTTAAGAGACAGAAAAAAAGACACCAGAAATCTTACCATCATGTAAAACAATTACAGGCTTCCATTTTACACTCACTTGGCAGGAGGGTAATACCTCCCTGGGCAGTTGCTGTCTACTAACCTACTATCTACAACTATCAATTTTCAAAGGTGAAAATTACTTTGAGTTACAGCACAGTAGTGTACTTTCAATTTTGCTGATATTTTGCTGTCTGTCTTCCTCTCTTCCTCAACCCTGACACTACACCTTTCATCACAGGATAGCCACAAGGATGACCCTTTTGGTCGGTGGAGGTGACAACTCTATATATGTTACCTAGTACTCTGGCGCCTTACCAGCAGCCAGAGTACTAGCTAATATTGCCTGCTGGCTCACTGAAGGAGTGTAAGCCACCACACCACAACAAGGCTGCTGCCACAGGAAGTTGAGAGGGAAGGAGGAACGAAAGTGGGTTAACCAAGTATCCTCGAGATACATCAATCTTAATCACCCAGGTATCCTCGAGATACATCAATCTTAATCACAGACCACACTGGAGAGCCAGCCATAGATTTATAAACTGCACAGGATATTTTAATTGAAAAAAAAAAAAAAAACTTACATTACTGTACTTGATAAGCCACACTTCTGAGAAGAAAAAAAATCCATTCATAGTAGATTATGATTAAGTGAATAAATAATCATTATTGTTGTTTTGTTTACCTGTAATTGTTTAAATTCCTCTTCATCAAGTTCAGGACTCTTCAGCTGACCTCCACATGCTGGACATTTACCACTGAAACACAAATCAAACTGGAGAATGTATTTTGTTTATGGCGAGAATATTTTGAGGAACTTTTAAATGTCGACGAAGAAAGGGAGGCGGTAATTTCATGCACTGGCCAGGGAGGTATACCATCTTTTAGGAGTGATGAAGAGCAGGATGTGAGTGTGGGGGAGGTGCATGAGGCATTACGTAGAATGAAAGGGGGTAAAGCAGCTGGAACTGACGGGATCATGACAGAATGTTAAAAGCAGGTGGAGACATAGTGTTGGAGTGGTTGGTATTTTTGTTTAATAAATGTATGAAAGAGGAGAAGGTACCTAGGGATTGGTAGAGAGCATGTATAGTCCCAGGAAGGATATAGGAAAGCACTGGTTTGGTAATAGAGTCGTGGATGAGTGGAACAAACTCCCAAGTACGGTTATTGAGGCTAAAACGTTGTGTAGTTTTAAAAATAGGTTAGATAAATACATGAGTGGGTGTGGGTGGGTGTGAGTTGGACCCGACTAGCTTGTGCTGCTGGGTCTGGCGCCGTGCTCCTTCCTTGAGTGGAGGTGACCAGACTGGGTGGGTCATTGGACTAATCCGAGGGGGGGGACATGGACCTGCTCCGCATGGGTCAGTAGGCCTGTTGCAGTGTTCCTTCATTCTCATGTTCTTATATAAAGGGAAACTGGTTATTTTTATATAGCCGGACTTAAGTCCTGGAAATGGGAAATACAATGCCTGCACTCTAAAGGAGGGGTTCAGGACATTAGCAGTTTGGAGGGATATGTTGTGTATCTTTATACGTATATACTTCTAAACTGTTGTATTCTGAGCACCTCTGCAAAAACAGTGATTATGTGTGAGTGAGGTGAAATTATTGAATGATGATGAAAGTATTTTCTTTTTGGGGATTTTCTTTCTTTTTGGGTCACCCTGCCTCGGTGGGAGATGGCCGACTTGTTAAAAAAAAAAAAAAAAAAAAAAAACTTCTAAACTTATAGGTAGTAGGTTGGTAGACAGCAACCACCCAGGGAGGTACTACCGTCCTGCCAAGTGAGTGTGAAACGAAAGCCTGTAATTGTTTTACATGATGGTAGGATTGCTGGTGTCTTTTTATTCTGTCTCATACACATGCAAGATTTCAGGTACGTCTTGCTACTTCTACTTACAGTTCTACTACACATACATGTACAAACATATATATACACACCCCTCTGGGTTTTCTTCTGTTTTCTTTCTAGTTCTTGTTCCTGTTTATTTCCTCTTATCTCCATGGGGAAGTGGAACAGAATTCTTCCTCCCTAAGCCATGTGTGTTGTAAGAGGCGACTAAAATGCCGGGAGCAAGGGGCTAGTAACCTCTTCTCCTGTATATATTACTAAATGTAAAAGGAGAAACTTTCGTTTTTCCTTTTGGGCTACCCTGCCTTGGTGGGATACAGCCGGTGTGTTGAAAGAAAAGAAGACTTCTAAACTGTTGTATTCTGAGCACCTCTGCAAAAACAGTGATTATGTGTGAGTGAGGTGAAAGTGTTGAATGATGATGAAAGTATTTTCTTTTTGGGGATTTTCTTTCTTTTTGGGTCACCCTGCCTCGGAGGGAGACAGCCGACTTGTTAAAAAAAAAAAAAAAAAATCTGATTCTGGAAAAAAAGTAGGTTTTAGGGGTTATTTTCCCTGGACAATATTATACAAAAGTATAAACAGTAAATTTATTAACAGGGCTTGCTAGACAGATATTATATTGGTATTAAACACTATTATTACCAGTAGGTTTATGTTTACAAAGGATAGATATATACAGTATATACTTACATACACAGTATGTATGGTGAGATAAAATTTAGAAAGCATTAATATTTAAAGAACACATGAAATAAGTATATATTATGACAATATTACTACATTAGTGTTAAGTACTAAATCCATAAATCATACAGCACTGTTGCTAAAATATATAGCCACTAGCTTTATATTCACCTTGAGGGTATCGTCACATAGCTGCTAAACCAAGCTAAGTGTTCTTTATACATTAAGTCAATCTCCTGAATAACAGGCAGTGTAGGAAAAATTTCATATGTAGCAAGTTTGTGAAACAGAGTTTCCATCATTGCCTTCTTCTCTTCAGTTGTTTTAAGAGCAGTGCACTGTTTGACCCATTCCAAGAACACCTGATCCGTGGGTAACTGTAACAAATGAAATAAGGGAATATAATAGTGGATATGACTCACAAAATCGTAATGACACAACTGCAAACAAACCATCATACAGGTGGGAATTGAACTCATGGCTCACTAGCAGTGAGTTCAATTCCCACCCGTAGTGTGGTTTATAGTGGATATAATAAAGCACCTTATGTCATCTGGCAGTTTTCTGAACTATCAACTCCTAAGATGCAAGTTCAGTTTAACAGAAATCAAGATGGAATGGCTTACTTGTCTGCAGCAAACTTCAAACCTGTCACTTCTAGGTTAAAGCTTGGCATAGTGTAATTACTATACATGTAGTATGATTGGTACAACCTTCATTATTTCATGTGCTGAATGAGCAAGATTAATACGAGTCTTGCAATCAGTAATATCGCTCTGAATGTTGCTCCCTTGTAAAATGAAAATTAAGTAAATTTCTCATTCAAGTGAAAATGATTAAACATTATTTAAAAAACCTTAGGAAACAGAATACTGCAGTAGGTAATGTCAGCACAATATGTGTTTTAGATATAAAAGCCTATGAAGACTGCAAAAGCAATATTTTAAACACCTTCTAGAATTATGAATTGTATTACAATTTATTTGCCCTCCTAACAAATAATCCTGATACAGCATTTCTTGCTCCAAAATAAGGTACAGTGATACCTCGAGTTACGAACTTAATTCGTTCCAGAAGGCTGTTCGAGTGCTGATACCGAACGAATTTGTTCCCATAAGGAATAATGTAAATTAGATTAGTCCATTTCAGACCCCCAAAAATACTTACAAAAGCACTTACAAAAATACACTTACACAATTGTTTGAGTTGGGAGCTGTTCAAAACTTGAGGTACCACTGTATGTACATATGTAGCACTCCCCCCCCCCCCCAAAAAAAAAAATGGTAACTTGCAACCTGCATTACTCTCAAGTGTAAAACACTGACAATTAGTATAACATTTATTATTTTTTCTGGCTGATTATACTATAACACAAGGTACATAAAGATGAGTTGTATAATTAAAAAAATTACTATATGATTTACAAGAACTGTTTGGATATTCAGTGCTTTTAACATACATACCCCTCAGGGAAGGTACTTTGATGCCAATGAGGGGCTCTTGATCCAAGGAATTAAACATATTTACCTTTCCATAGCTTGTACCTGACTGCCTCCCATTCCCCTAGGTGCTGTCTGACCAATATGGGTTTAGCGTTCCCCCTCTCCCGTAAATATATCTGTACTGTACTAATTAACATAAAACTTCCTAACATTATTAATTCATGGCTATCATTTTAAGTTTTCAGCTCTTTGAATAACTTGCTACCATCAATACTTATCTGCTACTATCTTGAGTAATCTACTCTCATTACAATACATATAATAAAAATTTGAAGACCATTATTTGCAGTTTCAATCACATCCTTTACAAATGAAAAGTAAATTCTTTCTACTAACCATGGTCACCACAATAAGGTACACTGAGTCAGGGAAAAAGACTGGTAAAGAAATATTATTTTGTATTAGGAAAAGTGACAAATCCAAATTATTTGTAAATGATAAAATGAACGAGTCGAAATATAGCTGAGGAACAATTTTGAAAGCAAAGTCCAAGTACCAATACTAACCTTGTTTTCTTGCCACATAACATCTAGGTAGTGAAACCCAGTGTCGTATTCCCCGTTCCTGAAGGCACTTGCAATGATGGCACTGTATGTACTTCTACAGATCTCTGACATCTTCCTGATTATGGGCAGATGTTTTAGTGCCTTTTTCCACTCACGTGTTGATGACAAGGCCAGAATAGCACTTTTACTTAGTGTGGAGTCCAGTACCTGAATATAAAATCAAGCTTCTTTAACTTTATGTATTGTACTTATTACCTTAACCTCACTGTAAGGCAAGCAATGAGCACTAAGAGTGATGAGACACTACAATATACATACACACATTATATTAAACTGTAAAAAAACTCATGTAGTAAATTATGGTGCATTGATGAACAATATACTTGTGATAAAATTATATTTTAGCCTGAAATCACAGCAGGTTACACTCATCCTGCTGCACGATCAACAGTTTTGGCACACTAAAAAATTTCTCTTTTTGGTACTGTTTGCTGTATGCAATATGATAAATTGACAAGAGCTCACCTTAACCTGACTAGTTATCCTCTGGTAGACCTCGAATATCTTTTCCTCTCCACACTGGTCCACAACCTGACCACACAGCTGTAGATACGCCCCAAGTGTGGCCAGGTTAGGTTCTCGTCCCTGTCTTGCTATGTGGTCCAAGTAGGAGTTTGCAAGAGAATAGTTACAATGTTGCAAGCACTTCTTAATCACCACAGCATCACAACAATGCACAGTCACTTGTGAATCCTCTTGAAGAATAAATGCAATTGTCTCTTCCCACTCAGTACTAGACATTTCTGTTTTATTCCTGAATATGTCTTTAGGCATGCTGTTGGCTTTGTCACCTACTGGTTGTATGTACAGATTTCTGGGCAGCTCTGGCAGGTCTCCTGGTGCCACACTATTGCATAAATGTCGAACATGAAAATTTGTGACATTTACTGTTATTTTACTTGAGAAACTTATGTTCAATTCTTTTATTGCTGAATGGTAGTTCATGACACGACAAGTGTGAAATGATCCCCCAAGGTGTCTGCTGATTGGCCAGACATATTTTCCATTCTGTAAACACTGCTGTAGAGACATCTGTGGAGAAAATCAAATGCACAATGAGGTAACAGGGTTATCAAAGCTTATTCCTTGGTTAGGATTGGAAAAATATTACCTGGAGTTTACCTGGAGAGGGTTTCGAGGGTCAACACCCCCGCGGCTTGGTCTGAGACCAGGCCTCGTGGTGGATCAGGGTCTGATCAACCAGGCTGTAACTGCTGGCCGCACGCAAGCTGACATACGAACCACAGCCCAGTTGGACAGGTACTGACTTTAGGTGCCTATCCAGTGCCTTCTTAAAAATAGCCCAGGGGTCTATTGGTAATCTCCCTTATGTATGCAGGGAGGTAGTTAAATAGTCTTGGGCCCCGGACACCTATTGTGTTGTCTCTCAATGTACTTGTGGCGTCCCTGCTTTTCATCGGGGGAATGTTGCATTTCTTGCCGAGTCTTTTGCTTTCATAAGGAGTGATTTTCGTGTGCAGGTTTGGTACCAATCCCTCCAGGACCTTCCAAGTGTATATTATCATGTATCTCTCTGCATTCCAGGGAATACAGATCAAGGACCTTCAACTGTTTCCAGTAATTTAAGTGCCTTATCGCACTTATGTGTGCCGTGAAAGTTCTTTGTACACCCTCCAGGTCTACAATGTCACCAGCCTTGAAGGGGGCCATAGTGTACTGCAGTATTGGGTAAATATTTTTCTTATGAGGATTGGAGTTTAAGGAAGACCTGCCTAGTATGGGCCAGTAAGTAAGTTTATTTAGGCATAGGTACACATAAGTACAATTATCATATGTAAATTACCTAGGACAACCCCAAAAATAGTCAGACAAAGTGACTCATTTCCATAGGACTACTGCAGTGTTCCTCCTTTGTTAAGGAAATGTACATATGATTTTATAATTAATAATATCAGGTAGCTAATATAATTAATAATACCAGGTAACTAATATAATTAATAATACCAGGTAACTAATTGATAATACCAGGTAGCTAATATAATTAATAATACCAGGTAACTAATATAATTAATAATACCGGGCAACTAATATAATTAATATCAGGTAACTAATATAATTAATAATACCAGGTAACTAATATAATTGTGGAAGTGATTTCGCAGACAAGTTAAAATTTGTATTAATGATACACTGCCTAGGATAACCTAACATTGTGTGAATGTTCCACTGGACTGCAAAAACGTGCAAATTAGTTACAATACACTGACCACAAAGTTGAATTAATAATAATATTATTATTTTTATTACTGTACAATTATTTTATTATTGGGAAGCGCTAAAACTGTACGTCATACGGTGACTAGGGAGAGGTAGGATAGCTCCACTTCCTTGAACGAAGAGCCCTTCACCAGTTTTTTTTATCATAAGTAAAGTTTTACTCAGGACTCGCACATAAAAGTGAAAATTTTGCAACGAGTTTACACAATAAAACAGCGTGAAATTTATATTTCATACCAATGAAGAGAATAAAAGTGATTTATTTGCACTTGGAATTGAATTTTTGAGTCACACGGCACAAACATTACCTTCCCATTGACTATAAAACAAGAAACTATTATTACAAAGTGGAAATTAAATAATATATAAGAAATTAGATGATACGAAGAAGCTGCTTCTTGTTGTTATTGTTGTTGGGTCTAAAAGGGCCACTGAAAACTTAACTTAGTACTGAACCCGACTCTTACAATAATAATAACAATAATAATAATAATAATAATAATAATAATAATAATAATAATAATAATAATAATAATAATAATAATAATAATAATAATAATATTATAATTATTATCATTATTATTATTATCATTATTATTATTATTATTATTAAAAGAGAGACACAGGAAGCTAGACAGTTTCAATATACCAGTCTGGGGGTCAGCAGGAAGTTCCCCAAGGCTTTCATAGTGTTCACCCATCCAGTTACTGGCCATATCCAGCACAGTTAGAATTTCTTTAAATATGTCAACCTCTCAGCTTGAGATATTTAGAGAGATTCTGAATAAAAAAAAATGTTTGAGACGAGGTTACGGTAGCCACTTCTGGCCGCTTCCCGTCTACTCATTACTTGGAGTATACCCTCCAATAAACCCTGAAGTATACCCTCCAGGTAAAACCTGGAGTATACTCTCCAGGTATACCATGGAGTATACCCTCCAGGTGTACCCTGGAGTATACCCTCCAGGTAAACCCTGGAGTATACCCTCCAGGTAAACCCTGGAGTATACCCTCCAGGTATATGCTATGTATGATAATGTATGTAACTGTATTTGTGTATACCTGAATAAACTTACTGTCTGCTGCTGAGTAGGAAACAAATAAATATATATATACATGGAACACTAGTAATGGTGGACTCAAGAATCACTACATCAATAAGGAATAAAAATGCTGCATCATTGAACATCTGCATAAATAAGCCATTAAACCAGTGTATTAAATATTAAACCATTATATTGGTAAACCAATATATAATTATATTTAATAATTATCAAATTACTCAATCAACAAACCTCTGAACTACTACATTAGTTAACAAGTATGAACAACTTGAACAAAAATATGAACCAGAGCAAAATAGCAACAACTAGAAGAAAAATATGAACAACCAGAACTTTTAGTTTAATTAGTTTAATATGCTTATTATGCACCTCATACCCATCCTGTGGGTGGTAGTCAAAAGATTACAGAGGTACATAATGGGTCCAGGGACTGGGCCTCAAAGTTTTGATAGCGGAGCAAGTTACAGAGGTAATGAATTCACAATTTACAAAGGTAATGAACTCACAAATTACAAAGGTAATGAACTCCAGGTAGGTCTGGTCACAATCATGACAAGTTACAAAGGTATTTACAGATTACAGAGGTACGTAATGGATCCAGGGACTGGGCCCCAAAGTTTGGATGGCTGAACTAGGTACAAGGTAATGAACTCACAAGTTACAAAGGTAATGAATACTGTAAGAATGGTTACTTACGTTTATACATGGCTACAATCATGAACAAATTATAGTGTAATGAGCAATTCACACTTCCACACCCGGTCACAACACACACACACACACACACACACACACACACACACACATATACAAATTCACACACACACACACATAAACACACACATAAACACACACACACACACACACACACACACACACACACACACACACACACACACACACACACACACACACACACACACATAAACACACACACACACACACACACACACACACACACACACACACACACACACACACACACACACACACATACACAAACTCATACACACACACGCACACACACTCATACCGGTGAAGAGCAACCGGTGAAGAGGCGGGGCCAGGAGCTAAGACTCGACCCCTGCAACCACAAATAGGTGAGTACAAATAGGTGAGGGGCCCGGTGGCCTGGTGGCTAAAGCTCCCGCTTCACACACGGAGGGCCCGGGTTCGATTCCCGGCGGGTGGAAACATTCGACACGTTTCCTTACACCTGTTGTCCTGTTCACCTAGCAGCAAATAGGTACCTGGGTGTTAGTCGACTGGTGTGGGTCGCATCCTGGGGGACAAGATTAAGGACCCCAATGGAAATAAGTTAGACAGTCCTCGATGACGCACTGACTTTCTTGGGTTATCCTGGGTGGCTAACCCTCCGGGTTTAAAAATCCGAACGAAATCTTATCTTATCTTACACACACACACCCACTCATACACACACACACACTCATACACATACACACACAAACACACACACAAACACACACACACACACACACACACACCACACACACACACACGCACACACACAAGCACTGGACAAGCACCTAAGTCAGTTCCTGATCAGCCGGGCTGTGGCTCGTACGTTGGTTTGCGTGCAGCCAGCAGCAACAGCCTGGTTGATCAGGCTCTGATCCACCAGGAGGCCTGGTCACAGACCGGGCCGCGGGGGCGTTGACCCCCGGAATTCTCTCCAGGTAAACACACAGGAGCTTGGACTCGACCCCTGCAATCTCAACTAGGTGAATGCACACACACACACACACACACACACACACACACACACACACACACACACACACACAACACACACACACACACACACACACACACACACACACACACACACACACACACACACACACACACGGTGTGTCAGAGTGGGCACCTGTGACCAGCGGGGTCCCGCAGGGGTCAGTCCTAGGACCAGTGCTGTTTCTGGTATTTGTGAACGACATGACGGAAGGAATAAACTCTGAGGTGTCCCTGTTTGCAGATGACGTGAAGTTGATGAGAAGAATTCACTCGATCGAAGACCAGGCAGAACTACAAAGGGATCTGGACAGGCTGCAGACCTGGTCCAGCAATTGGCTCCTGGAGTTCAATCCCACAAAGTGCAAAGTCATGAAGATTGGGGAAGGGCAAAGAAGGCCGCAGACGGAGTACAGTCTAGGGGGTCAGAGACTACAAACCTCACTCAAGGAAAAAGATCTTGGGGTGAGTATAACACCAGGCACATCTCCTGAAGCGCACATCAACCAAATAACTGCTGCAGCATATGGGCGCCTAGCAAACCTCAGAACAGCATTCCGACATCTTAATAAGGAATCATTCAGGACCCTGTACACCGTGTACGTTAGGCCCATATTGGAGTATGCGGCACCAGTTTGGAACCCACACCTAGCCAAGCACCTGAAGAAACTAGAGAAAGTGCAAAGGTTTGCAACAAGACTAGTCCCAGAGCTAAGAGGTATGTCCTACGAGGAGAGGTTAAGGGAAATCAACCTGACGACACTGGAGGACAGGAAGATAGGGGGGACATGATAACGACATACAAAATACTGAGAGGAATTGACAAGGTGGACAAAGACAGGATGTTCCAGAGATTGGACACAGTAACAAGGGGACACAGTTGGAAGCTGAAGACACAGATGAATCACAGGGATGTTAGGAAGTATTTCTTCAGCCACAGAGTAGTCAGTAAGTGGAATAGTTTGGGAAGCGATGTAGTGGAGGCAGGATCCATACATAGCTTTAAGCAGAGGTATGATAAAGCTCACGGCTCAGGGAGAGTGACCTAGTAGCGATCAGTGAAGAGGCGGGGCCAGGAGCTCGGACTCGACCCCCGCAACCTCAACTAGGTGAGTACAACTAGGTGAGTACACACATGCACACATGTGGTAATGCTTTATTTACAGCTAGCAAAGTCAGGGTATTTCTCCAGAATGGTCTGCAATATACCACTGTGGATAAAATACTTTGCCATTTCTTGAACATTTCTGAGTGAGTTGTTTCTAAATTTAATTTTATCACACTCCAGTACATAATGACGCAGGGTGTGACAATAGTCCATCTGGCAAAGTTTACATTTCGTTTGGTCTACATCTGGTGGTGGTGATTTAACCTGCCAAAGATACTTGTAACCCAGCCGGAGCCGGGCAGTAGTGACATCCAAGAGTCTGCTTATTTTGTTGGATGCACCATAGACATGTGGCTCCTCCTGCATGATAGAGTGATGATAGATGGACTCACTGGTGTCAATCTCCCTGAGCCTTAAGTCCATAAAATTCAGTTGAAGTTCTTTTCGTATTATTGTTCTCAAACTACTACCTGACAAGCCAAGATTGTAATCTACTCCCTCTTTGAAAGCATACAGGCAGACATCAACCAAATCTTTCAGTGGGCTGCAGAAAACAATATGAAGTTCAACGATGAGAAATTTCAATTACTCAGATATGGTAAACATGAGGAAATTAAATCTTCATCAGAGTACAAAACAAATTCTGGCCACAAAATAGAGCGAAACACCAACGTCAAAGACCTGGGAGTGATCATGTCGGAGGATCTCACCTTCAAGGACCATAACATTGTATCAATCGCATCTGCTAGAAAAATGACAGGATGGATAATGAGAACCTTCAAAACTAGGGAGGCCAAGCCCATGATGACACTCTTCAGGTCACTTGTTCTATCTAGGCTGGAATATTGCTGCACACTAACAGCACCTTTCAAGGCAGGTGAAATTGCCGACCTAGAAAATGTACAGAGAACTTTCACGGCGCGCATAACGGAGATAAAACACCTCAATTATTGGGAGCGTTTGAGGTTCCTAAACCTGTATTCCCTGGAACGCAGGAGGGAGAGATACATGATTATATACACCTTGAAAATCCTAGAGGGACTAGTACCGAACTTGCTCACGAAAATCACTCATTACGAAAGCAAAAGACTTGGCAGACGATGCACCATCCCCCCAATGAAAAGCAGGGGTGTCACTAGCACGTTAAGAGACCATACAATAAGTGTCAGGGGCCCGAGACTGTTCAACTGCCTCCCAGCACACATAAGGGGGATTACCAACAGACCCCTGGCAGTCTTCAAGCTGGCACTGGACAAGCACCTAAAGTCAGTTCCGGATCAGCCGGGCTGTGGCTCGTATGTTGGTTTGCGTGCAGCCAGCAGCAACAGCCTGGTTGATCAGGCTCTGATCCACCAGGAGGCCTGGTCTCAGACCAGGCCGCGGGGGCGTTGACCCCCGGAACTCTCTCCAGGTAAACTCCAGGTAATACAGCTTACACCAGAACAACCCAGTGTTTCTACCCGGCCGGGAATCG